GTCTTCGAGGCTCCCACCGGAACGGTTCCGGATCGGCCCATACGTCACGGGATCACTCTCGAGGCTGGCGCCGTCCCTCCGCGTGGATGTATCTACCGCATGAGCGAAGAGGAACTCGAGGTGCTTCGCGCACAACTCGATGACCTTCTCGACAAGGGCTGGATTCGCCCTAGTTGCTCGCCATACGGTGCCCCTGATCTCTTCGTCCGGGAGAAGAACAAAGATCTACAGTTATGCATCGATTATTGGAAACTTAACGCACAGACGATAAAGAACGCTGGCCCTCTCCTTCGGATTGATGATCTTCTTGAGCGGTTAGGCGGTGCGACGTACTTCTTGAAGTTGGACTTGAAGTCAGGTTACCACCAGATTGAAATCCAGCCTCAAGATCGGTACAAAACCGCGTTCAAGACACGGTACGGGCATTTTAAGTGGGTTGTAATGCCATTTGGCCTCACCAATGCCCCCGCAACTTTCCAAGCAGCGATGACGACTGAGTTCCGCGACTTGCTCGATCGCAGCGTCCTCTTTACCTCGATGACATCTTGGTTTCCAGTAGGACGTTGGACGAGCACATCGTACACCTCCGCGTTGTTCTGGATCGTTTGCGACGAGCCAAGTACAAAGCGAATCTCGACAAGTGCGAGTTCGCCAATCAAGAGCTTGAGTACTTAGGTCATTTTGTCACGCCGAAAGGCATTCGTCCCTTAGCGGACAAGATCCAAGCCATCGTGGATTGGCCGGAACCCCGTTGCACGACGGATGTACGCTCTTTTATGGGTTTGGCTGGATATTATCAGCGATTCGTCGAGTCATACTCGAAAGTGGCCGCTCCTTTGTCGAGACACCAGTCCCCGAAGGTGCCCTTCGAGTTCGACGACGCAGCCCGTGGCACGTTTACTACATTGAAGTCAGCGATGCAAGCCGCACCTGCCCTCCGTATATACGACCCCACCTTACCCACCCAAGTGACTACGGACGCTTCGGGATACGGCATTGGTGCGGTGTTGGAACAGTGTCACGAGGACGGTTGGCATCCGGTCGAGTATTTCTCCCAAAAGGTGCCCCTCGTCAACACTCTAGACGACACTAGGAAGAAAGAGCTACTCGCGTTCGTCACCGTTCTCAAAAGGTGGCGCCACTATCTTCTCGACCGTCCGCGTTTTAAATGGTATACGGACAATAATCCGTTGACCTTTTACAAAACGCAGGATATGGTCACTAGTACGATCGGTCGATGGATGTATTACATCGACCAATTCGACTTTGACCCGTGCCACATTCCCGGTCCCGCCAATCGAGCTGCGGACGCCCTCTCACGACGGCCCGACTTTTGTGCCATTGTGACCACGGCATTCAACCTCGAGGACGATTTGCACCCGCATTTCGTCAAAGGCTACGAGTCCGATCCGACTTATGCCACGTTTTATGCAGAGCTTTCATCGGATCACCCCCCGGCTAGCCACTATCGGATATCCGACGGGTTCCTTCTCCTTCACACGAGAGGAAAGGACTTGTTAGTTGTGCCCCAAGATCGCATCTTACCGACTCGTCTTCTCGGCAAATTCCACGATTCACGACTTTCGGCACACCTTGGCGTGAACCGCACACTAGCACGCCTCCGCCAGCGTTTTCACTGGCCCGACGTCCTTCATGACGTCACGAGGTACATTGAGTCATGTGCAGTTTGCCACCGCAACAAGGGTCGATCTCGAGTCCCCTTCGGTGAACTGAAACCATTGCCGATTCCGCGGGCACCTCGCCTCTCCATTGCTATGGACGTGACAGGCCCGTTTCCCCGCGATCGCCACGGCCATGACGGTATTCTCACGGTCGTTGACCGTTTGAGCAAGT